CTATTTAACCCAATATTCTGTTCCTGCAGTAGCCAACCAGATGCTGATGGGAAGCCCACAAAAGCAGGACATGAGCACAGTAGGACCCGTCTGCTCATTATCTGAAGCCACCAATACAGAGAAGCCATGCTGCCTCTCATAATGGAAGCAATCTGTAGCGTTCATGACCACGTAGTTATCAGTAGGCTAGCTCTCAGCAAAGCTACGGCTTTTGCAAGTTAGAGAGTGAGGGTTTCTTACAGTCTGCTTGGAGGAAATATTCTGAGAGAGAATGTAAAGTAATCAGAGCTTAGTTGCAGTGCAAAAGGAGTTTCTTAAGTAAGCGGCAACGTGCTTTCTCACATTAATTTCGAGCCTAGCATACTAGTTTATTGCCAAGTAATGCAAGACTGAGGCTCTGATCTTGTGCACTTATTTGTTTATTGAATCGATAAACCGCACCCAGTAATTCTGCACAGGACTCCCTGATGCTGATATTTGAGTTTACCTGCCAGACAGTTGCCTGCTCTGTATGACCTAGCAGTTTTGTAAAGAGTGTCCTAACCTTAGCCATTTTTCGATTTTTGTTCATGTTGAAAATATTTCTCAGAAAATAAATATAATGTCTGTCTGCCACTAATTTCGCAGTGCTTGCCATTAAATCAGTACAGCCTACACTTTGCAAAGGCTCAATTTGCTTTAAGGGAAATCATATTTATCTACTTGTAATTGATTTAAATTATAGTTCAGTTTCTGCTTCTACATGTTACACCAGTCAGTAGTAAGCATTTATTTATAAAACTTATGAGTCTCCTTTCAGCCTCAAAAGAGCTCCCAAGGCATCATGCAAACTGAAACATAAAAGCAATATCATTATAAACATACGACTACTTCCCAGAACATAATGAATTTGTTTGTCATTCTCTCTCGCATTTCATGCCGTGTGAGTGAAATGGGCACTGCAGAGTTAATTTTTTTGAAGCGGTTCCAGGCAGCACACACAACCAGCACACACCGCATCAGCATTTCATGGTCCAGCATTTTCTGCATCATATTCCCCCACCCCACCCCCAAGAGTGTGAAATTTCAGCAGATTGTTATGCAAAACAGTTTTGTGTCTCTGTGTGACTGGGGAGACAGCTGTTAGTCCTAATGAGGAGTGCTAGCATTACAGTATTTCTGTTGATTGGGACCCACGGAGGGAGCAGAATGTTCCGGATCAGGCAGTGGTGTGTGGTGAGAAAGTGCCACTCTTGTCAGCTGGAAGTACATGCTCGGCTGCTCGCTACGACAAGATAAATGAGTTTTGCTGGGGCTTGGCAGAGTCTGAAGGGTTTCTTTCTTTCTTTCTTTTTTCACAGCGAATGGTAGTAACACACCAAAACTCCCTGTGGGGGACCCACAGTTTAAGGGTGTCATAAGAATATTGCCTTGTTGCCAACTTTTTTTAATGCCCAAAGATACCTGTCATCTCCTCCTGAGTTATTAAAAGCCTAATGCCTTTTAGCGATCCATTAACACAGACTGTAATGATCTTTTGCTGACATTTTTCATTAATTTAGCTGAGGGGATATTAACCACAGTTTTACATTGGCTACCGTTGTTGAGTGAAACAAAATGGGGGAATTGTTAATTTACCCTTTCTTCTCTAGTTTCTTATTTAAGTGTTCCAGATTCAGCACAGATTGGGCGGCATGCGTGTGGTCACTAAGTGTATAAACAGAAGGCCAAGTACTCTGCTTGGCCTTCCACTTTTCATTAAGTTTGAGTTCAAGCCTCCATTTAGTTCATAAGTTAAAGAAAGTTCACCTTCCTCCCATAACATTTGTTTAGAAACAATTATCTGGAAGTCTAATGTCACAGGGAGCTTAGGCTTGGGATGGAAAAAGAATTTCCCTTTTTGCAGTGCAGCAACATGTTCCTGTAACATATTGCTTTGAAGTGCCATTTCTGGAGGGCCTAAATTCACAAGCAGTTGATAAACAGGCATAGTGAGTAAAAGATCGCGTTAGATGTGTTTATGGACTTAGTGCACTTCATAAATGCTGAAGAAAGTCCTGAAACTCCCAGGATGCCCCAGCCAGCTACTGAAGTATTTTTTCCTGTTAAACATGCATAGGATTCCATCTGTAGTGGACAAAATGTGTGGATTCGCTGGTGAGTACATACACCTTTTGAAAAGGATGCCATGTGTGTGCTGCAGCAATAAAAACTATAGATGCCTGGTCTGTTGGAGTTATGAAGAGGACTGCAAAGATGATGAGGAACTGATGTTTGATAGTGGAGGCCCCATTATGCAAATAGAATTTAAAAATAAACACATTCATATTCTGCTCACCCAGATGAAATAAGCAAGGAAGACTCACTTTAGCTTTAAACTAGATTTAAATCAGGCAGGCTTTCAGTTAGAGGATTGCCCTGAATAAGGCCTGTCCTTTGTAAGGCTGGAACCATGGCCACTGCAGGACACCTACCATGTTTTTTCAGGCCTCATTTGTTGCTATTTTTTTGTTGTAATAAAACCCAATTGCAGTATCAGTCTGTTTTTTGGATGTGCTGTTATGTTATGCTGGTCTATTTGCATGTCTGCCATCTCATGTTTAGCGCCGTATCTGGTCTTTTCTGTGCCATCATATATCAGATCGTCTTTCAAGTTTACCTGTTTTCCTTCCAGCAGCTTCTTTATACCATTTCCCAGAATTGTACTGTTCCTGGTTTTCTGTTACCAAAACATACAGAATGCCCTACAAAGATTAAACTTATATAAAATAATAGAAATGTTAAAGTAAAGCACTTTTAAAAGCAACAGATTTAAAGGAAAAAGAATTAGAATTGCACACTTAAAGCACACAGTCAAAGGTCAACAAGTCTGCGTAGCATGGTGATTAGCGAGTGGGACTGGTACTCAGGAGATCTGGGTTCTAGTGAATACTTGGCTACTTGGCCGTAGTTACTGACTCTCAGCCTAACTTACCTCACAACATTGTTGTGTGGTTTACATGGAGAAGTGAAAGGTTACATGGGCCACTTTAGGTTTCTTGCAAGAGGAAGAATGGTGGTAAGAAAGGCTAAAATAGAAGGGATTTAGCAGATCTTTCTTGGGGGATATGGGGTGCATTTTTACAGTCTGGATGCCATGATGGATAAGGCCTCATCCTGGGTATTTGACATAAGTTGCAAGTTAGAGGAGAGCTTCAGATGCCAATCTTAATTGTTGGGCAGGTTCGTGGTGGAGCAGACAGTTCCTGAGGTGACTTGGGCCCAAGCCACATAGGGGCCCCCAATGCAAAAATCAAAATGTTAACTTGAGTCCAGAAATAAATAGGCAGCCCATGTGAATACTGGGAAATTGATGTACTGTGTGCCTTATTTTGGACTGGATGAAGTTTCTGGGTAGTCTATAAAGGCAGCCCCATGTATGGAAAGCATTGCAGTGAAGCAACCAAGAAACAATTATCATGTGGATAATTGAGGCCAGGTAAAGTTTTATATGTCCATCAATTACTGTGCCAGTATGAAGATTTTTCACAGGCAGTGTTGTGCCTTCATGTTTAAGATAGATTTTAAAGGGTAAGGGCTCAGCCAGTGAAGAGTTTCTTGTATTTCACTTTCCTTTTTAAAACCAAAATATGCAACCCATGCTACACCTTTGGGATATAGGTTGGGATACATATTTAAACAGTCAAAAATGTTCAAGTTTTTGAGCAGAATTTGAAAGGCAGAGTGCTATGAACAGTTGCTTGAAAATACAAGCTTTTAAATCTTAACTAGATGAATAATTTTAATGCATGATGAAAGAATCAAATCTATTGTTGTATGTTGTGGAACAGAGAAACATTCTGCTTGCATGAATATTTCAGTATCTAATGCATATATTTGGGAGACTCCTTGCTGTGAATGTATGGTAACTTTGGAATTCTTCCATATATCCAGTGGCCATTCTTAATTGCTTGTGCCCCCACAGTGATTTGGGCGCAGAGGCATGAGTAATTGTGTGTTGGGCTCGCAAGACTCAGGCAATGACCTTTAGTTCGTGCCACATAATTACCCTGACCGGCTCAGTGGCACTTGGATACTGCATTAAAAAACTTTGTACCACTGACACAATGCTGTTTGGATCTAATTAGACTTTAATTTGATGTCAATTTAAATTAAGAGGGCTTGCACATACCAGTCCATTGTGACTTGGGTAATACTAATCTCAATCAGTAGGCTGAATAGGACATGAAATCAAATTCTCACAGTACAATAGAAGTGACAGGAGCAACTTGACACCTTAAATTAAAATTACTAAATTCCAAGCAATTGATGCTTGATATGACCCCCAAGCAATACAGGATAGGTCATTAAATAGGATCCATAGAAATTGAGCTGAGAAGCATACTGTAATGAACCAGGGGAAGGAAGGAAATGCTTTGTTAGCATGCTGTGTGGGTGGAAACAAGCTAACAGCTTTGTAGAATAGAATGAAAGAAATAGCTTAAAACCCTAGTCTTTGCCTCTTCAGATGCATCAGTTAACTTGTACTTCATTACCAGGATTAAATATTTTTCTCCTTTGTTGAGTCTTAATTTGCTTAGCATAGTTCAAATCAAGCAAAGATTTAAAACAAAACTGCTAATTTTGGGTATGCTGCTAACAGAGCAGACAATCATCTACTTTTTCTTTATGAGTGAAGAACTTTCCTTTACATATGTGGTTTAACATCCTATGCTGCAAAGTTATTTCCCTTCTTGTTAGTGTAAAAGAGACTGATGACATATTAGCATGTGCTTGGATGTTAAAAATACTGATTTACATGCTGCAGGGAGTGTTGATCACCTCTGAGGCCCAGTAGTATAGAGCCACATTAGAAATTGGGCTTGCATGGATATAATGCCTACAGTTAAGATGTTAAAATCCTTTTATCACAGACTTGTGTTTTTCCCTTCCAAGCAGAGTTTGGAAGGGAAGTTAAAATGGGCTGGTGTGTTTTAGGTTAACTGTGCTAACTATGGCTCTGATTTCTCCCTCCACTTAAGCACTGTGACGTCGGCTGTCTTCACTGTAGGGGACAACGTTGTTTCTGGTAGTGATGACCGTACTGTGAAGGTTTGGGATTTGAAAAATATGAGATCTCCTATTGCCACTATTCGCACAGATTCTGCAGTCAACAGGTGAGCCAAAGAAGTCTGTGCACTTAAATGCAGGAGATAATGAACTAGTTTTCCCGATCACCACAGGCTACACGAGCCACAGCAGCTTTAAGTTGTGGTGTGTGCCTGACACAGTCTGCACCATCAGCTGCCCAGCTCGTTGTGTCACCTGCATCTGGGTGACGTGGGCTGCTTGAAGGGGAAATATATAACTATCCATCTTTTCATATTTCTATGAAAAATAAGTATTCAGATTCCTACTCAATTTTACATTTAGTCAGAATGCTTCCCAACTGGCCCTCCTGCCTGCCTTGTGGACCTCTAGTTCATGCAGATCCATCCTGAGACCATGGAATTCATTGGCAAACCCAGGTGTATTCAAGGATGACAGCTCTAATGATCTCTTTCCCCACAGTTAGTGGCACCATTTTGCTCATGAAGTCAGATTTCTGCATGAACCATTTTAGTCTATCAGAATGGTGCCAGTAAGTCGCTTCTGTGGGAGGAAACCATTGATGGAGCATTATGTGCAAATAAGTTACATTCTTTGGGAGAAAGTCACAGATTCTGGATCCGACAAAGTGTTTAGTGAACTAACCATTGCATATGGTTGTTGAGCATCTCCCAAGGCTTTGCCCATCTTTTCTATCAAATCATCTTCAAGTAGTGTGTCCACCATGAATTTTGGGGCCATCTGCGGGGACGGGCATGTAAAAGAAACCAAGGCCTCTCAGTCTGACATAGACTAGATTCCCTTGATGCCTTTTCATTGTCAGCATGGTAGAATGTTTTTTGAGAATTTGCACAAACACTTACTTGAATTGTTTTTGGAATCTATATGTTTATGAAACTGTTGTTTTCAGGAGCCTAGGTACAAATGATCCCGTCTATGTAATTAAGGAACTTCATACAAATTCGGTGTGTAACTTTACTAATGTTTCATTTGGTCTTGGCCCCTTGTGCCATGTTTGATGTCACGCCAAAGCCTTCCCTAACCCTGGGGTGACCTCAGAGAGTCCCAGTGTACACCAGGAGCGCTTCTTGCAGCTTTTCCCATTTCAGCATGGTGCTTTGTTGGTGCATCTGCTGGTCGTGAAAGTAGAATTGTTGATGATTCCACTCCCAGGGGCTGGAGCCAGGAGCTCCCTCCTGTGGACAAGATTCCCTTCCCCTCACACCTCTGACCTCCGTGTAGCGTTTGCAAGCGGGTGAAGGGTCTGCTCCTGGGAGGAGAGGGTGAGGAGTTTCACTTTCACCAGCCAAGTTGCATGTGCTGAAATCTGAATTCAGGTCCAATCTTTTTATTTTTTTTCCTTTGTATAAAATAAAGTTGCATGCATTTGTGGGAAATGCGTACAATATAAACCTCCAATTAAACCACTTTCAGTGAACTTGAACGACTGTCAGTTCTCATTTGTCAGACTCCCTAACCTGTTTTTTTATCTCTCCTGTGCAGGATTAATGTTTGTGTCGGCCAAAGAATTATTGCCCTTCCACATGACAACCGGCAAGTTAGATTATTTGACATGTCTGGAGTGCGATTAGCACGGCTCCCTCGCAGCAACAGACAGGTACCAGAATTTTTAGTTCCATATGTTAAAAAATACGCATACTTTCCCATCACCTCTCAACGTTTTACTTGGTTTAGAATGTTGATTGTAGGATATCTAGCTCAAAGGCAAAAATAATTTCCTTTTCCAGGAGAATGTGTGTTCCAAAGGTGACTTCTTGAACAGTTATCATAAATTCATAAACTAAACATGTCTGTATTTCTCTTTACCCTTTGTATATAGTGCATACATCATGGCAATTTAAACCATAAAGATGGGCTCAGAAATGGATTGGGATCCTAATTCAAATTGCTGCTCGGCAGCCCCTACTGATAATCTTCTCCTACATGGAAGGGTTTAACTTCAGATGGATTAGGCCCTCTTTGGGTTTTCTTGTTTTGATGGCATATCTATATTTTTAATATACGAACAGTTGCAAACAGCAGAACTGATCCAACTCACAAATCTTGCCAGGCATTGCTGTTCTTAATGTTATTTTGGGATTAGTTTTGGCTGCTGTCTTTATGCATAGCCCAACTTGATTATCCTAGCAAGGAATAAGTAATGCTACCAGTGTGGTCTTTGGAAACATAATCCTGATGTGGATGATAAAGAAGTGCACCTGTGCTGTAATGGTTGAAGAAGCAGCACAGATTCTAACGCCATCTCCTCTGCTCTTGCAGGGCCATAGAAGAATGGTCTGTTGTTCAGCATGGAGTGAAGACCACCCGATATGCAATCTGTTCACTTGTGGATTTGACCGCCAGGCGATCGGGTGGAACATCAACCTGCCTGCCTTGCTCCAGGAGAAATGAGATGCTAGAGAGATCTTTTTCTCTCTCCTGTCCCCTTCTGTTGCCATAGACTTTTGTGCAGACTTCCCTTCAAGCCAGTCCGCTATCATTGTAAAAGGTGCGCCTTGAAAGGGGATGTATTGCAAATGCTGTTACCACATTGTGCATAGTTGCATGACATGTACAGAAAAAATGTGACCTTTTCAAAGAAATTAGGTTCTTGTGTATGAACTTTTATATCTTGGCATACACTGGTGAATAGAAGGATGTTTGGCTTTCCTATGAAGCATATAAGTGTTCCTAAGTTATTCAGCCTAGATGAACAGTAGGGCATTATGTCTGATTTAAATGTGAATTCTGTGTACTTATTGTGAAGAATATATAGTCTGCCTTTTCCCCACTGTTTTACATATCTGCCTTGTGGTTAAAGAGATATAGGGCTAAACTCTTAAGATGAAGGGTGAATTTCACTTAGAAGTATGTTGGAGATTTTCTTGAATATATATGAAGTCTGACTTTGAAGGCTCCAATGCATTAATTTCACCTTCCAGTTTACTCTGATTTCTGGAATAGAAACATGGTTTAGGAGAGGAGAGACAAGCTAGCTTTTTCATATTGGACCTAGAATGTTGGTTTGCCATGTTGGGACTATTCCTGTACATTTCAAAAAGGAACTTGTTTGTTCTTACCCCCTTGACCTGAGCCAGCTCGCTTGTGTTTCAGAATCTCATATATGGCAGACTGCAACATACTGCAACCACGGCAAACTGAGCAAGTTCCTAAGCACTTTAGTTTATAGCAGCTGTTATAAACCACAAGCATCTGATGACATTTCCTAGAGAATGTGAGACCTGTGTCTGAGAAGGATTTACATTGCTACATTTTGTTATTTTTTAAACCAGATGACAATGTTTAATTATCACTTCACCTGTGTTTAACATTTTTTAAAATGGGAGCTTTTTCATCACAATTCTGCTTTGAGCCAATAACACCCAAGGGCAAGACCCAAACAACCACATACATTCTGCATACCCAGGAGAGGATGGGGTTGTATGCAACTCCCATGGCAAGCTACTTTTGACAATAAGGAGTCTTCCAAAAACAGTTAATATTATGGCATGGTTGTTGGAGACCTGCCCGCTGTTCAGCAGAAGACAGCAAGAAATCTCACTGGGCATGCCCAAACCTTGGTTGTGCCTAACACAGTTCCCTGGATTCTGGCCATTGTAACTGAGAGTGCTACCTCAAAAATGAATCTGGGGCTACTTTGAGCTGTTTAACCTTGATAAAGCACTTTGGATCTGATTTCATTGTGCTGTCTTAAAGAGTAGAAACAGTCATACCAAACTTCAGGCTTGAACTGTATCAAATTAATAGAACGTCATCATACTGAGAAATGTTAACCCTGAATGTAAACAAAGGTCCTAGTGTAGTTCCACACAATTCTGTAGATAGTTCTTAATTTTTATCCAGGAGAATCCTAGAAGGGGATTGCTCTTCCTATGGTGTGCTGTCAGCTTGATGACCTTGATTCATGAGGCCAAGCGCACTTGGTATTTGATGGTTCTGAAGTGGAGATATGTAGGCGATCTTTAAGCTAAAGGCAGGAAGTGTTATTCATCACTGACTGTCTATATCTCAGGTTTGGGGCCACAACAATCAAAAGTGGTAATGTAGACATTTAAAAAGAGTTCAAAATGAATTCCCAAAACATGACCTGCATTTCCTTGGTCACTCGCTTTTCTTATTACTGAGGTTGTCTTCCACAGTGCTGCCAAACACAACTTTGAAAGGCAGATTCTGGTTTCTTTCTTCACATAGAGGAGAAAGTAGATTGGGAATAGAGGTATCATATATGAGAAAGCTGAAATCCCAGAAGGAATTTGAGGAATGGGACTTAAGATAATTTATTGAGAACCTAGAAAAGTATTTATGCAAGGATACAGTATTAGAGTAGATTAATCCATCTGAGGCAAAAGATTATATGATCCCAGAGCTGTAGCAGCTATGTAGAACTGAAGTCTTTAAAGAGTGAAGGGCAAGTAAATGGCTGAAACTTTTGTCAATTATCAGATGTATCCCAAGAACTGAATAATAATTTTGGCATTAAGTTGAAAATCAGCCAGAGAGCTTGCTGTCTCCTTCCCTTATGGAGACTCTACCTGGTATCTTTAAAAAAAGTCCACTGTGATCTGTATCAATCTGCGTTCATGCTCTGTGGCAAGACTCAGATAAGTTGTGGATAGCTTTATTGTGCATAATTTTATTGCATCCTTTGGGACCATGTGCTTCAACATTGGTCTTGCCACAAAATATGGTTGGAAAGAAGCAACCATGCTAGTTCACCTCTTGGCTCTTTTGGTCAGGCAGCAAGAAGTCCAAGCCAGTAAGAAAATGCCATAATCGAGATGTCAATATAAATAACCATATTTTTATCCGTGTGCTCCCTCCGTGTTAATGGAGTTAAAGCATTTTTCATGTGCAGCTTGAGAGCAATGGGCTCTTAGACCTATGTCAGGGAGAAGCTTGTGTGACCTTGCGTCTCACTGACGGGTTTTTCCATGGAGCACCTTCAGCTAATGACTTCTTGCCTTCAGCGGGGATGATGGACTTAGTTGCATGGACAGTTCAACATCACTGCTGTCTGTACATTTTAAAATGCATATGAAATAGCATAGCATGTCCACATTTGTTGAGCTTTATTACACCAAAAGGCTACCTTTTTTTGTAGCAGAGATATCTACAAGCTTGTTCTCACTGAAGCCCTGGGCTGTACCTGGGTTCTAGCTAGCTAGATTCTGACGCCTGCAATATTCTAAATGTTGTTTGTATTGAGTCAGTGGATGGCTAGCCCAACAGTAGATGAATGATATTGGTGGAAATGGTTATTGGTTACATGTTTCAATTTTCCTGGTCTCCATTTCAAAACCAACAGGGTTCTAACAGCTGTGAGAATATGGATCTAATTATGTCCAGAATTTCATGTAGAAGGAAAGTGACTTTTGCATACTTTCAGTATTGAGACTTAGTTTTGTGAGAGGTGGCTGAATCACTGGGCAAATCACAAAGTCCTGTGTCTGTCTGTCTGTCACTTTCTCTGTGTGTATGTGTTCTTAAAACAGTTCACATGATTTTTTGTAGATGAAAAAAGTTACCATTTCAGAATCTGAAGAACCCTATTTTGATGCCTAATTCTTTGAAAACCAGCTTCCTCAGAGGAAGAAACTCCTGTACTTGTATGTCAATGTAGAACCACTTGTTTCTGTTTACTGATATTCTGGTGATTTGACGGTGTTTTTTTAGATGTTCAGTGTTTGTCTTTGGTGCAATTTGCAAATGCCATTAAATCATTCAACACAGTTTCAGAATCCGCTTTTTTGATAAGCTGTAAATCTCGTGAATTGCAAATGATTCTCCTTGCTGTCAGCATGAACTGAAAAAAATTCTGGCCAACTTCGTGAAATCAAATGGAATTTTCTCAAGCTAGTTCAGCCTTTTTCAGTTTTCTTCTGCTGAAGATGAAAGTAGATGTTACTCAAACTGTGCTGCCATTGAAAACAGTAGCCACCGTGTCCCCCCTTTCCTTCTCTCTCCTCTGTGGCATCAAGGAATACACAATCAATAATGTGCTGTCACAGTGTGGTGTTCACTTTCTCGGCTGCACTAATTGATTGTCTGTTACAGAAACTCACAGCTTGAAGGTCAGTCACATATTGTGTATATGGAGACATTACAGAGGAGGACTGGAGAATGGGACCAAGGGCTGCCATCTTACAGCACAGCTCAGTGTTGTTTCTTACACCTGGCTCTAGCCTGTGTCAGAGCTGGCAGGAAGAAGGCCAGGCAAGCCTTTGCAGCAGGACATGCCTGCTTAAGAATGTACCCTACATTTCGAAGTGTATAACTTAAAAGTGGTGCTGACAGGCACTCTTGAATGTTTCCATTTACTCCCATATTCTGTGCAAGCAAATCTTTAATTGCATCTTGCTGCACAGGTGATGAACAGCCTCGATGTGGCTTGTTTCCCCTGTGTTAAGTTAAATTGATTTTTCTTGCTTAAAGAAACGAGTCAAAACATAGATTCAGAACAATTTATTTTGATACAACAGCCCTCAGAGTATCACGAAACACTTTACAGACTGAACAGAAATAACTGATATAGCTTACAATAAGCTGAAGTCAAGACTGACAAGTGATCCAAAGATTGTTGCATTCATATAAAAATGAAGTGTTAGGATTGCTATGGAAACATCTTGCATAGTTAACATCCTTCTTGGATTATTCTTGCAAAATTGCCATCAATAGCATCTTGAAGGCCTTATGCTTTGAGTTTGCCAGAGAGCACAAGTGAGGCCAGGCATCTTGAGTCACTGGAGTTAAACATTACTGCTAAGGAATGCTTGCAAGTTTGGAAATTGAACTGAGAATTCAACAAAGGCGCCATGTGCGTCCTCTTTGCTTTTGCTCCCTTTGTTTAGGGTGCATAAGGACCAACAGAATGCTCAGTCACTGGCACAATTAGATTTTTTGCACAATGATATCACCTCATGGTTGTCAGAATTGTATTGCAACTCAAGATGCTGGGTATTATCTTGCACCCAGGTTTTTCATGTGCTTTCATACAGATTAATTCTGATAGGACAGGGCTGTACCACATCAAAATCCTCTCTAATGACTGCACCTAACGAGATGGATGCACTGATAATAAGCACATGAGAAATATTACTTATGCTCCACAAACAATAGTAAAAATAGAAGTAGATCACTGTTTTACAAAAGTAACATCTGTTAGTATGTTGTAGCTGATAATAAAGATCCCTCACATAGAATTTCTTGCTGCACATAGTACCACCCAGTAGAGGAACTATCAGCCATTCCATTTCCTGATATTTTTACAATGAAATAGAAATAACCAAAGGGCTATTCATGCATAATGCTGAGAGGGAGAGTGACTGGCCAGGAAGTCACTGGATTGCACAGATGAGGCCACAAACACTAAGTCCCAGCAGAGAGAGAACCAGCGTGTTGCATGTTTGTACCTGAGATCATTACAGAAGCAAAGAAAAAGTGGGGAGCATTGCCGGGTTGTGAACTAAGCATGTTGAAGCTCTCACGGAGAAGAAAAATGGCTAGTCCTTCCAATGGAGAAGAGGAACATACAGGTGATGCCTGCCGAAACAGCGGCAGTCTGAATAGGTCTGCAGTGCTCAGAAATACCTGTTTGTCCCTCTCCATGAGGAGCAGAACCAGAATAAATGTGTTCAATGTGCCTAATCTGCATAATTTACACAGGCTTCAAAACTGGGCGTTTTGGGGTACGGAGTTGGATAATCATGTGGAGAGTATGGACAGCTCTAATTGCACATGAGGCTCGTCAGCGTTACAAGGCCAGGTTATTGGTTTTGAATGAGATTATACTGTAGCGATTATACTGTAGCGAATATTATACTGTTAATATTAAGATACCATTTCGTCCCCTTAGGTGTGTTTCAACAAAAGAAACCCATCTTGTAGGGATGGTAAATAAGTTACTATAACTAGATCACTTTAAGTCTAGATTTTTTTTGTAGCCTCAGATAACACCCCTAGGAAAGTGCATGTTGCTATTTAAAAGTGAAATGATGGAATATAGTTTAATCTGATTTTAATTTCTTACCTAGCGGTGCCAAAATGTTATCAGTATCTTTGCAGCATAATTTACCAGAAGCCAAAGCAAACAAAGAATAGTTAATGGATCCATTCGCAGAGGAAGATTTAACAGCACAGCCGCTAATCCTGCAAGGAAAGAAAATGTTAACTTTTGACATGTAAACCAGAGAGAAAATAGTCTGATCTGGTTTAATGGTACTGTTGTGGCCTCACATAAGAACATTACAGCTGTACAGGATCAGACCAAGAGGCCTATTTTGCCTGCCTTTCCACTTGCACAGGGGTCAGCCAGTGCCAGATGGGAAGTCCGCGAGCAGGAGCACCCTCTGATGTAATAGCAGTGTCCATCTCTTCCTCTGAAGAGCTCTCTGGGGCATTCTGGGCAAGGGAAAGAGGGGGATGCCTGCAGGCAACAGCCCACCAAAGCTGAACTATGGGGCACATTTCTGCTGTTGGATAATCTTGCTGGACAGAAGCAGGGCAGCAGGGGCTTGGACAAGGCAATGAGGCGGAAGCAGAAGGGATGCAATGGTTGAGTGGGGGCTGCGGTTCTGGGTGATTGTGTGTGTGCACGTGCGTGTGTGTGTGTGTGTGTACAAGGGAGAGAAAGCATAGGGTTAAAATGGAGAAAGGCTGTGTGAGTGTGCAAGAGAAAGGGAGAGAATGCTTTGTGTGTTGGCAGTCTGGGGTGTGGGGTTTTTTTTGCAGAAGTGTGAGACAAATTGCTTGGTGAGATTTAATTTTGCAATACGGTCTTTAAAGAATATTTAAGTAAAATGGCTTGCCTTTCTATGAAATAAGAGGTGTTTTGCTGGAGGAAAAAACTAGGTTCAAAGGAGTATGTTTATGCTTTTATTTTCCTCCCTTTTCTGGCTTCTTCAGTTGCCTTTCTGTGAAATGTGTGTTTTGCTGCATCACTGAATTTTGTGACTCCTTCTGTTCCCCATGGCAGCCAGTTTGTGGTGCTGCTCTCAACATTTTTGCAAGGTACCTGCAGACCTAATAAGGCTGGTAGTTTAGATCCAACAGGGCCATTTTTAGTATGAAAAAACTAAGGCTGGGTGCACAACCGTTTTGGCCCTGAAGGCAATACTGGATGTCTGCTCAGGTGTGTGAACATATACGTGCAAATGTGCACATACAGCTCACCTCTCTCTCTCTCTCTCTCTCTCTCTCTCTCTCTCTCTCTCTCTCTCTCTCTCACACACACACACACACACACACACACACACACACCCCTTGCTTGCTTATGTGTGTGCACAGTTTTTTCTTTTTTGATTAGTGTACATTGCAAAAAAGGACAAACTACCCACATGAAAATGCTGCACTAGACATGTCCCTGTAACTCGCCTTTGACTCACCCACGTCCATCTGAAGAATGGAAATGGCCACACTGGCCTATCTTAGGGGATGTTGCAAGAGTTACTAACGATGTGAGGCACTTCCGTGAAAATCAGGAATGAGTGAGCAGCCTCTTTCGACGGAGGGCCAAGCTCAGTTCTGGGGGAGGCCCTCGGGCAAACAGGCATGGTGGCTGCAACGTCACTGGGCAATGGATCCCCTCCAGGTTTGTCCAAAATGTCAGCAAATGATCCGTGGTGTGGAACCCGCTTAGGGGATATGGGTCAGCAGTCTGAAGAGCAACTTAAAAGTTAGGTCTCAAGCCCTGAGAGGTGACAAGCCCAGTTTACATGGGAATCACCAAACTCCGCAGGTCTTGGGCTGCATTCCAGTTGTGAAAAGAGTTGAAGGAAAGGTGGGGCCAGAAACAAAAACAGTGGGTACATGTTCACCTGAAGCTCCTGTCGCCAGGAGCAACACCTTTGGAGTGGCATTTCGACTTGGAGTGGAGAAAAAACCTGCATAAACATCAGAAAGCCACCAAATCGTTGGGGGAAAGGGGCGGAGAAATCCCTGAGGGCAGGATCAGGCCTCTGATGTGAGGTTTCCTTCTCCTTGCATTAATACTCTGCATCACAAAGAAAATATATTATTTCTCTTATCCTGCCTGCCCCTTTTCCATGTCAGCTGCCTGTCCGAATTAAAATCAAGCACTCCATTTTAGTACATAGAATTCAGGCTCTGATCTTGCCTGACATCTAGGAGAACTTCAGCAGGGCTATGTGTGAGCTTGGTTTGCACACACAATTAGGGTGTAATTACACACAACTTTCACCCCTGCCTCTTAATGGGAGGCCTTCCTACTGGCTGCACTGCCTTTTAGTCTTCTTGTCTTAAAAAGGCTACAGGAAAAAAGAGTTTTTAAAAACCCTTGCTTTATGAGTCACTCATGGCCAAATGTGTTACCCAGTAATTCCTTGGTTAATTATGTCACTGGAATAAGAGGATTATTGCCACAAGCATCCTCATTCAAAGATTACTGCTCACAGGTTAGAGGCCAGCAAACGTATTTTCCTCAAAGGTGTTAGCATTCCCCACCCCCACCAAAAAAGCTGAGCTTCTTGAGGCCAAATTAATTTGAACCTGAGCTTTGAGCGTGGCACCTTGAGTGTAAGCCAGATCAATTCTGCTGAAGCCATCAGTTTCTAAAACCTTGCAGGAATTTTCTCTCAAGCTGGGTTATTTTTAAAGATGTTCAATAGTGCAGGTAGTTACGCTTTATCCCACCTCAGTTTCAGGCCCTCCCCTCCTGATGATGGAGCTGAAGCCTAAACTGGCAATCTGTAGGCTGCAGCCCATTCTCAGAAGTT